TTTCTACTTCATACATTTAATTTTAAAATAACTGACAAATTCAGAAAGCATTTTTTTGAAAGCTAAATGATACCTCTTCAAGATCATTTATGAGATTGTAGAATCTTTCTTAAGAGTTTTGCAACAAAAAAAAAACAATGTAGTTTTCGACAGCAACATGCTGAAGTATGAATATATAAACGCAGAAATAAATACTCTTCTAGTTGACTATGAAATTCCAAATAAACTTTGTATTTTAGAGTCTATTCTGTAACTCTTAGATTCATTTTCTCAAATGGTTAGAGAAATTTTTTTTAACTAATTTTAATTTTAATTAAATGTCAAATGAATCCTACAAGTGCTCATATGCACTATAAAATAAATAAAAAGTAAATAAATAAATAAAGAGTACCATTTATTATTATATATATTAGACCGATGAAAAAAAAGGAAAAACAATATTCATTCATTCATGTATTCTTTCAATTTATTGTCAATTTTGGCTAGAGAAAAATGTATTATTATTTATATTGACGACATCGGTCAAATAGAATAGATGAATATATATGCATATAAATATTGACTTTTCATATATCGAAAAGAATGGATTAGTAATAATAAACATGCAATATGCATGCATTAGATTAAATGATTTACCTGATTAAATCCTTATGATTATTTTCAAAAAAACTCGACAATTTTGATATACTTTATTCTTTTCAAGGTGTTAATGAACGACTAAATAAAATTATTCAAAATCCAATTTTTACAAGTCATTTGACTTTTGTTAAATGGTTATCACATAATTTTATAGATCTAATTTGTTGTGGTATGATACTTAATCGATTTTATTTACAAATTTTACCTGAAATTCATCATAAAATCCAATGGCTTGATCTTGAATCATCATCTATGAAATATGTTTTACATGCTGCCGATTATCCTAATTTACATACTCTTGGTCTATATAATATTAATGAAGAGTCAGCTCGAAGTCTTTTTACTGGTAGGATATTTCAATTGAATTATTCTTATTCTAAAAACAAAAATGAAAAATCTATCAAACTTATTCATATAGATCACTAGATTATATGAATATATTGATATTATTCTCATAGTTTTTTTTCTTACTAATATTCTACATATATATTTAGACAAAAATCTTTCATCTGATATTTTCAAAGATCAGATTACAACACTTTGTTACAATTGATCATAATAACGAGACAGAATTAACAATCATAAACATATGCAATTACATCTTGACTGTTTTCATCAGTTTAATTTCTTTAACATTATTGGGTGTGGGTGTGGGGTATAGGTGTGCAGTGTAAAGTGTGGGGTGTGGGGTAT